AATATTGATGGAGGTCACCAGAATGTCTGAAATGGTGAAGAAGAGCTTTAGTTTCTATGGTCAATAGCAAATGAGAGCTTTAGTTTCTATGGTCAGTGGTAAAGGAGAACTTTAGTTTCTATGGTCAATTAGAAAACACATGTCTGTTCTGCCTCAGGATATTCCAGTAAGAAAGGAAGAAAATACATTTTTGCAGCAGTGTGTGTTGCATGCACATGTTTTAGGGAAACCATGTATTTTTCACCTTAAAGTAAAAAAAAAAAAAAAAAAAAAAAAAAAAAAAAAAGTGGTTTATTCTTTCTTTCTTCCAGTGAAAAATGAAACCTTGGGGAGATAAGGAAATGCATTACATGCATCTGCTTTGTGTAGTCCAAAGCACAGCTCTTAATTAAAAATAAAAAAAAAAGAAAACCAGGCATGGAAGGTGTTTGTTTAATGTTACCAACCATGCTGTTTAACATGTTTCTCTAGTGTCTCCAGATCCTCTGTCTAGAAAAAAAAAAAAAAAAAAAAAAAAAAAAAAAAAAAAAAAAAAAAAAAAAAAAAAAAAAAAAAGCTATGAGTGAAAGGAGAATAATCTTGGCTTCATCAAATTTAATGAAGAAACACCCCCAAGTGCCGTGAGCTTCACACAAGTTCAAGCTACAATACCACTCTGTTTAGCATTGAGTCTTGTCCTCAAGCAAATTCCATGAGTATCTCCTTATCCTTAGAGGATGGAAGGACTGCATCTGCACCTTTTTTTTTCTTCTTTTTCTTTTCCCTTTTTTTATCTTAAGCTGTTAGGAGAGGCCATCCTGCATATTTCCGTGCCCACATACAGACTTTCCCTTCAAGTCCCTATCTAGAAAATCTTTTCTGTCTGCTTTCTCTCCTCTTCCCATACTTGCATGGGTTTCCCGAGGCAGTTGGTGTTCTGACCTCTTGGATCTAGTTTTCATCAGCTGTCAAGGTAAATTTGGTTAATACTGCAGGAATAGTTTATTCAGCTTTAGACTGAAGAGGGAATAGTGACAGAGAAGCAAGAGCATTGCCCTGTCTCTCTAATCTGGCTGATATGTCTCTAGATGCACTAACTTTTAAATACTTAGACTTTCTTGATTTATTTTCATTTTTAATAAAAATGTGCAGGCCAGACAGAGAAATTTTTAAAAGTTTTGAGCAGAATCATACACACACACATAGATAAAGTTCTTTTTTTAAATGTCTATAAATAAAAATGAAATCTAGTAATTTTATTAAAAAACCTGACAATTGTTACATATTCTGTTTAGACTTCTGGGCAGCTAGAGGCAGGGATTGGATGTTTTTCACTGATGCTGAGCTCAGTTGTCTCTAATATACAGGTTAAAGTGGGTTTTATCACCTGCCATAAACTGTCAAAATATGTACTGTTGTCAGTATCTAAAAAGTGAATGCTTATCTCAAGTTGTAGGTGACCAAGGAGAGTTCTTTCATGTAAGAAATTTCTCCTATAGAAAATTTTCCTGGATTTTAAAACTGGGAAGGATAATTATGATGGACTTAGCAGCAGGAGGCAAGCCAAAACGTTTCTTCCAGGAATTCTTTAACCCTGGAAGTACAGCAGTGACATGAGAGTGATTTCATATTTCACTTTGCCCACGTTCACTGGACCTCTCAAGTGCCATCTTTTTTCTCAAACCTTCCTCTTCCACATATCTTTGGTCCTGAGGAGCTGCATGCCATAGGATACCATGAAGCTCTGTTGGGAAGATGTCAGGTGGGAAGTCTGTTGGCCTGAGCATGCAGAGTTTCAGTTTTTCCATCACTGAGGTAGGGCATGACTTCAGTTGGTTGTAGTGTGCATAATGACAGGGTGAGTTGGCCACGACAGCTTTGCTGTGATGTAAAATAAACAGATGGGTACAAAACCCATCACAATATGTGAATTCTGACTGTGCAGGGAAGTTAAGTAGAAGTCAGAGCTGGTCTGTAAAGAAATCTTGCAATCAGGAGAAAAGGATGTATTAACAGAGCAAGCTGATGGTGAGATGGGTGAAGATTTATTGAGATATAGGTGGGATAATGCAAGTAATTTTAAGTGGATTCTAAAGGGGAAGCTTTGCAAAGACCTGCTCATGTCATTTCCTAGCCATTCTTAAAACTTCAGGTTCTGGTAATGCATATGGAATGGAGAATTATTTGGAGTTCAACTTGAAGTTGGTTTTTGGTTTTGGTTTCTGTTTGTTTAGGTTTTATTTCTTCTCTCTTGGTTGAAGTGCGACAATGAAAACCGTTGTGTTGAATTGTGGACCTAAATGAAATAACTGCATTCACACTGAAGTTTGTAACAACAAAAAAATTCATTTATTCAGGGATTTGGAGCTTGCTGGGTTTTGTGTTTTGTTTTTTTTTAATGGAAACTGCTATTCCTCCATGTTAGGAAAGGCAAAATGAAAAGAATAAACCTAGAGCTTGGAGAACAGGGTAAGGAGATCTGTGATAAAATAATTCAGACTGTGGTCTCAGTAAAAGTCCTGGGGACATTCATTTCCCAAGTGGATGGGTTTTATCTTGTCAGAAACCTCCTCTGTTCCCTGTAGTTGCAGTCCAAATCTGACACAAACTTCTGGATCTCTGAGGAGGCTCTCAGGAGAAAGGGAAATGGCATAGGGCTGGACAGCTCAAGATGACTTACCCAGTGGAAACACATCTCACCACACTTAGGTTTTCCTGCCATCCTGCACAGCCTATCACCAGTCCAGCAAGCTAGCAGCTTTCATCATGGTCTCCACACAGAGACAGGAATGGGAAGTCCAGGAGGTATCAACTTTTGGTCTTCATCCATCACCTGAAGAGATCAGTGGGCTTTGCTGAGGAGCTGATACTATTGGTGGTCCTGCCGTTTTATGGATGGGGAGCCAAAGTTGCTGCATAGTTACTGTTTTTCCTGGGTTTAAATCAGTTAAAATTGGGTTCTTTTGTACTGTCATGATGTCAAAGATTTGTTGGAGTCAGGACAATTGTTTACATTAGAAAATCTCTTTGCATTTAAGACTCTGGTTCAGGGAAAATAGAGCATTGTACCTCAGACTCAGAAACATTTCTGACTTTGACACCTTTGACTTTGGTTCCTCAGCGTCACTTTGTCAGTGACAGAATGGGGACTTTTGTTTGCCTTGGCCACTGCATAAAAAACCAGGATATGATCAAATCCAGTTAATCACTCACAAATGTCTCATTTCTTGAATCTCTGAGGGTGTGTAACACATTTTTGGGACTGTTCTCTGCTCCTTTGGCTTTTGTTATGAGTAAGTTAGGGGAAAATAAAGTTTTGAGTTTTCTTAAAAGGAAGTGGAGGAATCCTGGAACACACTTGGGCTCTGCAAATGCACGTTTAATCATTTAAAGAAATGTCTTTTGGCTAAAAGCTCTTAGCAGTGCTTGCAAGTTGCACTAAAAGCCATACGACTACATCATTCCCACAACTGATCCGAATTAGCACCCTTGTTGGCAGCGTGAGCAGAGAGATGCAGGCTTAGGGAACACTGGGGACTGAATTACCCTCAAATTCATAGAGGCCTTGTGCAGTAGGGGTAAAGTGTCCCTGAGGTGACTCTGCTGACAGTTACACCAGGTCCTTACAGAGTGTCATGCCTGGAGAGACGGGGCATGTCCCACCTGCCTTGATATTTTTTGCTGTGCAAAGCATCTGGCTCTGTGGTGGAGCTGGGCAGTTACAAGCATCTCCTGCAAACACTTACCCTGTGCTTTAGGCAAGCACACACTCTCCAAGCAGCAGCAAACCAGAGGAATGCATTTTTACACAGGGCACATGGTCAAACTCCCTGCTGCAAGGTGTCCTGGGGCAAAAAGTACATGGAGGCAGAAGCCTGAGTACACTGGTGGTGAATTGGTCTATTCAGAGCTGGCAGTGAAACGTGATGACCTGGGTATAAATGGGGGTCACCCAGCCCTGCAGAGCTTGGAGCTAATGGACACAATGGAGGAGGATTGTTCTGGCCTTTCTTAGTGTCATTCATGTATATATTTATATACATTTCACATTCACCATGGGCTACAGTTGGAGACAGGTTATTGGGCTATGTGTTCTTTAATAAACCTCTTAGTGGACTTCTTGCCTTCTTACTATATATGTCTAACCCATCCTGAAAACAATGTGAGACTCTGACAATAAGTTGAAAGCTTTGGAGGGATTACACTGCCTTATTGAGTCTGTACCCAAAGCCCTTTGAGGGCTCCCATTGACTCCAGTGGGATTTGGTTCAGACCTCAAGTATATAGGACTCGCCTAAATAAACTATTTCAAGGCCTGAACATGCTGCAATACTTATTGGGCTCTTTGTTACTTCTGTGGATAGGAATGTGACCTTTACACTTCCAGCAAAGAGCCCTGATTTACAGGACTAAGTCTTCATGTTATGGGAGAGATAAAGTTACCATCCCCACTCCTCCCAGCCCTGCTGTGCAGGTGGCTGAGCAGTAGTTGATGAAGCAATTCCTGAATCACTGCTGGTTTAGGTAGATAAGCACTGAATGTGCAGTGCAGCAGCTTCAGAGCTTCTTCATAAGCAGCTGTCCATGAACGATGATGGGCAGGGTGGACATCTGGGGTTGTAAATTCTTCCAGTTCATGAGTCAAAACCCCAGTAATATTCTTTTTTGCCACTGCAGGGTGATTCTGATATCCATGTTAGATGTTTATTTAGTCCATGCACAAGTTAAAATCAGACTAGCAATGCATCTAGTTTTTCTTTTATCCACCCAGTCCCTTGGCCATGTGAGGGGAGGAAGGGATAAGTAAGATGGAAGAAGATCATATTGGGCTGTACAGTCTCTTCTGCCCATTGCCAAAGGCTGCAGTGGCTACCTGGTGAATAGCTGAGTCTGAATTACAACAAATTGCATAACATGCCTTTCTTGCTTTTGGAGCTGCTCTAGTTGCTGGCCTCTCAAAGGAGAAACTCGAGTGAGAGGAGCAGTTTGATTGACAGTGCTCTTTTCTACCTGTATTTTAGGTCACTTCCTGGGTAACAACACTGTGATTGATGTACTGAGACAAGCAGGATTTGAAGTGGAGCACACGCCTCCTGGACAACCAATTGGAAAGTAAGCAGCTGCCCACAGATTATCTGTCACTTCCTCTCCTTTTTTCCTCTCCTTTTTTTCTGTGACTAAGCAAGATTACTGCATTAGTACAGGAGCTGGGTGAGGAACCTCCCTTTCTCACCCAAGTTCTGGACAAAAGTGCATCATAAAGCATCCACTGTGTGAGTTTGGAATCATATGGAGCCTCAGTGGCTGTTTGGGACATATTTGTATCACAGCTGCTTCACTGCACCAGATCAGAAGTTTCACAGTTTCTTTCTGTTTTGAAGAAATATCTCCCTCAATTAATTTCCCCCTGGAGTAGTTTTGTCTTTCTCTCTCCATGAAATTTTAGTTGCTTCTCCTTTGCAGGGCAGTGGGCTGCCACCAGCTTCATTTTTCAGGCCTCTCCATCAGGCTGCTCTTCATCAGGTGCAATTTCAGTTTTGCCAGAAGGACCTGATTTCATGTAACAGATGCACCTTGGAAAATGTGGTGGGTGGGTAAAAAGTGATTCAGTATTCCCTGAGCTTCTCCATGTATCTGATTAAGTAAAGCAGGCAAGAAGAATTGATTTCCAGGCTGTTGGCAATCTTCATTAGTATAAGATAAAATGTGGCACAAAATTGTCCTCAGTGAAACAGACTTCCTTCCTCCACTAGACTTTTCTCTTTCCTGGCCATATAGTTGAGGTCTCTGTCTAAAGGTGTCATAGGCAATAAAATTGGGAGGGATGGCAAGAGAACATCTTTGCAAAGTTGGCCTTTCCCCTGCAGTCTGCAGATAAAAATTGGCTGAGATTGCTCTGTCATAGGATTGTTATCCTCATTAGGAGAAGGTGTTAGCAGCATGCTCCTGTCCCTGGTGGGCAGAAATGACATGGTCCAAGTATGAGGTGAGTTTCAATATGGAGGATTAATCACAAGGCTAGTAGACCATGTCTGAAAAAGTTATGTTTAATATAGTTGGAAAATCTGGCTGGACTTACCTTGTTTGTGAAACATCCACCATGATTCATATACAATATAATATGGCTCAACTGTATGTAAGTGTCTTTGACAGAGCATTTATTCTTGGAATATGTTGAGCAATAAAAGCACAATCTTAAATAACAATGGGGAAAAGAAGAAAAACTCTCAAAGACAGGGAAGAGCATATATTCAGAGGAGGTTTAAGAAGCATTTTGACAGACAAGAGAAAAATCAACATGGCACAGGGAAGAGCAGGAAACACTTAACTGGCTGGAGCTGGAAATTTTGGCTAAAATAAAAAACAGAACAAAACAAACAAAAAGCCTGTGTCTCAAGCTACAGAAAACCAGAAATAAAACCAAGTAAACTATGCCCAAACAGCTGGGGTATACTGTTCCTGGGTTTCTGACAAAGAAACTTTCCTCTCAGGAAAGCAGGCACTTCCCTCAGCAATTTTTATTTAGTTGAAAGTATCATCTTCCCATGAAAAGTCTTTCAACTGGAAATTGTGAAACTCTTAATTTAGTGTTTTTTTGCAAGTGCTTGAGAAGAAAGAAAGAAATGTACAGTAGGGAGAGATGTCCAAGAGCAGTCTCTGCCTTTCATGGTCTTGGGATGTGTCTATACTTATTGTCACAGACTGGAAATAACATGATGGGACACTAAACTTGAAATAAAGCCACTGCCTAATGACTTATTTGCAGTGTGGGGCAGCTCTGTGTATGCATTCCCCTACCCTGGCAGCCGTGTCTCTTGCTCATGACGTCTCCTCTAAAATTGTTAGTCCCTTGGGCAAATGTACTTGAAAGCAAGTGGACTTGGACTTCTGCCTAGAACCACACATATGTCCTCAGTTGAATTATCCTACACTTGCTAGTGTCTGTTCCCAACTCCAGACCAGTATATTGGGCATGTTGATCCTTTTGTCTGGACTAGTATCCTAATTCCAGTGGGGTCTGTTCTGAACATACAGAACTTTATTAAAGGGTATACTCTTGAGTGTGAGTACTGGATTGAGTTGAGAGAGAGCATGTAGTTGTATTCCATAAAGTTTAGATGCTCTGTATGTTTTCCTGTGGTCTGATGATCCAGGCAGATCATTCAGTCTAAGAATACAGAGGGAAAAAAAAATTTAAAATGGCATGGTAAGGAAATTCAGAGTTGCCACTAAATTGCATTACTCAAGGTGCAAAAAGAGTAGAAGATTACAGAAAGTTTTAATAAAGATATTTAAAATAGATTCACAGGAGACAGCTTGATGCCCCTAGAAAAAAAAGAGTTTCCCTGACCTACACATCAGGGACTGTATTTTCATTGTCCTACAGCTGGGGCTGTAGCCATCAGAAGTGCTTGGGGTTCCTTCTTAGAAAAAAGGAGGCTGCTGCAAACCATTTGTCATAAAATAAAAGCTTGTATTTTATGATTTCTGGCTGAGCTGCAGAAGTGAGTCTAGTCAAACACAATTATGAAAGATGTTAACAACATATTCAGAAAGCATAGTCAGTTAATTGTTGTGATGTTTGGGTTATGTTGCTGTAATTGAGAATCTTAAGGAAACTTGCATATTTGTCTACCCTTCATTTTTTGCTCTCCTCTTTCCTTTTTAAAAGATTAAATAAAACCATTTGAAAACAGTTAGAAAGGCCCAGAACAGGAACTGTTTCAGGATTGTGGCTGAACTTACCACATGTATACATAGAATAAACAAGTAGAATCTTAATGAATTTTGAGCTGCTTGCAACCAGAAATTGTTTTATGGATTATAGAGATGCAAGTGGTTTTGTCTTGATTCTTGTGGAGCCATATATGAAATGAGAGGTATTCCTCTCCTGTACTGAAACCCAAAGGAGACATTTCTGCCTTACTTCCAAATAAGTTGTATAAGGGACTCAAGCTTACTGCATTGCATTCTGGCACTGACAATTGAAAAATTGGAGAGTGTTCAGGGAAGATCAGCTGGACTCTAATGTAGAGATTGGTGGGGGTGGACAGCACACGGAAAAAATGTCAGGGCTGGAAAAAAATGGAGCAGCTGCATGCTTATGTTTTTGGCCAAGGGAATTCAAAAAAAGGGTTGTTGTAGACAGATTGTGTGCAGAAGGACAAAGAGGAACAATTTGAGCTGGCACATAGGAATATTTGGAGGTATAGCATAATGAAATGGAGGGTGGGTTTGGCTGAATATCTATGATTTCCTGACAGTAATTTACAAGACAGTCTTTCTCAGGTTAAGTCAGAAGCTCTGTCATGTGAAACGATGAAAGTAACTTTAGCAAAACACTCATGCTGCATCCTACTTACTACCAATGCTGCCTTGCCCAAAAAGCAAATACTATTTACTTAAATATCTCTGTTCTTAGAAAAGTATGACTATTACTGAAATGATTAATAGTCCGGTCTTCATTGTTTAGTAAGGAAGCTGAGTTACCATAAATAGGTGGGGTAGTCTGGTATGATGTTTAAGCTCTGCCACCCATTTTTGTTTCAGAAAGGACAAGATAATACCTTTTCAGAAAATAACTAGTACTGCTTCTGTGTATCAGAAAAGCCTTAGAAGAGTAAAATAGGACAAAGACCAAAGCTGTTTATGCTTTTACATACAGGCTGGGCAAAGCCAGAAGATTGTTGGCTTCCTCTGTTGAAAATGCTAAGCATGGGTTGTGAAATGGCTGCTATTTTAGCAGATGAAAATGAATACCTACAGTCTCACGTTTCTGTTGTCTTCTGACAAGCACAAATTTGAGCCAAGTTTCTTAAGGTACTAGGAAAAAGTAAAGTGAAACCTTAGCTGGCTAGAAGACATAGCCAAGACATGTAGGGGTTTGATGACTCCAGAATCAATGAACTGGCAAAGAAAAGTTCATATTAAGAACATTTGGCTGCTGTGGGGCTGTTTGGGAGCTCTCACCAACTGGATTTCTGAAATCCCCTAGCTCCTGTTGATTTGCCTGGTGGCCCAGTGTTGACCTTCCTGAGCCTCTTCTAGAATCCCACCAGCTGATTATTGAAAATACCTTCTTTAAAGCTCGACCCCTTTCTGTAGAAGAAACTGAGTTGTACTTAGCATGCAGAACAGTGCCACAAACACTTGAGAGCTTATCCTCACATTGGCTTCATTTCTTTATTTTGTTGCATGTGGGGAAGTGTCCCAAATCTATTTTCCTGACAACCTTCAACAGCATTTGTAGTTGCTTCTTACTTTGCTGGCTGTCCTCCTTGTCCACAAAAAAAGGCATTGGAAAACAGAGGACTGAATCAGTATCTCATTGCTTTGCCCTGAGATAAGACAGGCAACTTCTTTTTGTGTGTGTGGGGCTCCTGCCAACTGGCTGTCCCTGCCTCTCTCTGTCTTCAGAAGGCAGAGCTGCATGCTTGGAGGGGGGAGAGAGGAGGAGATGGGAGAAAGTTTCCCCTCAGATGGATTCCAGTGTCTTGAGCAGATAAAAGGCCACAGCTGCTTCACATTTAATTGGAAACAGCCAAATTGCAAGATCAATGCCAGAAGCACCTGTGTCCATGATGACTCCATTGTTACTGGGTTCTCAGAATCAGCTCTGACCTTCTGCCATGCACCAAGCCCTGACGCACTGCTCGCCATTCTCTTGGCCAGAAAAGCATGCAGCAGTGCTCATCTTCATCAGACTGCTCTTTCTGGCATTATACTCAAAGCTTCCTTCTTTCAGAGCGGGAGAATTCAGTGCAAGCTTTTATTTCTGCCCATCTGAGAGTTTATTGTAAACCCTTAGAGCTCTGCTGTAGAAATTAATTACCGTTCCTCCTTGTGTTTGAGTTTCCTGGCCCAGTTGAAGCAACATGTCTTTGCTGTTGTAGCTTGTTCCTTTCCTTCTTTCTGAAGCAAAGAGCTTGCACCTTCGCCTTTTCCTATAGCATCCTACAGGTGTGACCTTGGCTTTCCTGCTCAGCATTTTCTGATATTGGAGGTCTTAGCTCTGCTACGAATGTTTTTTTCTGCCCCATGGGATGAAAGCAAACCTAATCCACACACAATGATGCAGCCATTTCACTCCATCAGGATCCCCAGCTTTCATG